TGGAGGGGACCCTGCGGGTGGGCACTGGATTGGAGGACCCGCCGGCTGGGCGTCGGGTGGAATCCTGGCCGGCTTTTAAATTGGCAGAGGCTCAGGGAGCAGCTCTCAAGAACCCGCGGGCTTTTCCCGCACTCTACCCAGCACACGACCACCCACCCGAGGCGCCGTCCCTGCGGCGGCTGGGGTACCGTCGGGAGCTGCTGAGCGACCGCCCGCCAGGAGCCTGGGTCGGGAGCCCCTGGGGGCGGAGCTTGGGGAGCACGTGGCCGTGTCCGGCCTGGCCATTGGGTGCTGCGGTGACGGCCTGGACAAGCCGGGAGCTGGTGTCCCAGTCCTTGTCCTCGCTTTACTCCTCTGAGCCAGAGCCCCTCGTACGGGCGGCCGCCTCCTTTGCCCACCCTCCTTCGTCCCGGACAGTCGATTTAGAGACACAGAAGTGACCTGGACTGGCTTTGCGCTGTTTGCTGAAGGCATCCGAGGTGATCCGAAATTGTTGAGTCCCTAGGGACTTGGGGCTTGAATCATCAAGGGAGGTTTAGTTCCTGAAATACCCTACAGTGGCAATGTGTTACTAGCTCCCGGGGAGGTCACAGATTTAGAGCAAGATAGACCATCTTGGTGTTTCTCTGCTTGGAATTTGAATGTTGGCTATAGAAAGCCTTAAGAAAAAAAACAACAAAAAAACCACTATAAGTATTAATTATTTTGGATTGACGTAAGGCAGTTTAACTTTGCTCGATCGAGAGTACAGGGCTTTGGCATTGCGCAGAACTGGATGCAGATTCTGACTCAGGTCTCCAGCCTTAGTGCCCTGATCTTCAGAAAGGAATACCTACCTCTCAGGACTGCTGTGAGAATTAGATGAAGCCAAAGATGCAGCGCATGGTAACATGTGGAAGAAATTACTGTGGTGCTTGTCAGGTTTTTGAACTTTAAAACATTATAAATACAAGAGCATTTAAGTATTAGTAAAGAAACAAAAATTGAACTTTCTGATGCATTCTGTTTCCATGGGTTCTGGTTTCATCTTGTACATTTTGCTGTTTAAGATAGGATGTTAAAAATTCTGCTGAGGTAGATTTCCACTTTTTAAAAGCTCTTACAGGATATGACTCATTCTTACTTCAATGCCAATTTCTTATTTAAAATACAATTATCCCTCCCCTTTTATTCTTTTGAATTGGAGTCTCACTCCATCACCTAGGCTGGAGTGGGCTCAGGCAGTCCTACCTCAGCCTTCCAAGTGGCCAGAACTACAGGTACGCGCTACCACACCTGGCTAATTTTTTGATTTACTGTAGAGCTGGGGGGGGGGGG